TTCTTCTTCCTGTCTGCCTCACTCACTCTCTCTCTCTCACACACTCTCACACACTCTCTCTCTCTCTGTTCCGATGAGTCCCAGACAGTAATTGCTCCCGTCTCTCACAGCCCCAAATGTCTGTTCCTGCCTGACTTTGACTTCTGTTTTTTTGTTGTTCACTCTTGACTGACCAAAAGACAGAATGTGAGTCTTCAGAAAAAAGGTTTTGCTGAGTATGTGTAATTCACTGCCTCCTTTGTCCTCACCTCATCCATCCATCCATCCATCCATCTGTCATCTAGGGGGCTATTGCGGCCTCTTAAAGCCCAGACAGGGCCTCCTTTATGGGAGGAGGCTGTCAAAAAGAAGCCCTGCTAAACAGGATGGGAGTGGCAGGATGCACAGACAGACAGTCAGACAGACAGGCTGTTAACTGAGGCAATGTTAGTCTGTCTGTGCAGTGAAACAAGCCACAGAGTGCTTTACTGCAGAAACAGCCTTTAAATTCAGTGTTGTGTTGAAAGCTTATTTTTCTTCAGGGAAGAGAAACACAAATCTGTCTGTGAAATATAATTGTTTCATTTGTTTCCAGTGCAAATCAAAATCTTATTTGGTTCATTCTGGGAAAAAGGTTTTTTTTTGTTACATGTTTCAAGAAGGCTATATATTAAGCTCTGCCTTTGCATTGCATTATTTCTTTCATTTCCATTAGACTGGGTTCCCTCAGAGACTGAGTAAGAATAATCAAGTGCCTCAACAAAAACAAAACTAAAAAGCAGCAGGTAATAAATTCCCACACACCTCCAGAGCCGCTTTCAGGGAGCAGAGAGTACTTTTTGTTTTAGACACAGGAAATCACTTGTTAATTGCTGCAGAACACAGGGCTGGCCTGGTATTTTTACATGTCTGCGCTTCGTTGAAAAGGTCAAGCAGGCTGCACTTAAGAGTACAATCTACACAAACAAACTGACACACAGTGCTGCTGGTCTCACTTAGTGATTACACAGAGGCTCAACAATGGCCCAACGTTACCCCTGAACT